CTTCCTCATCGTACTCAATTCCCGCTCGGTCAGTCGTCGACCCCTCAACCCTATCGGAAGATGCTGACTAATTTGACGCCCTGGCGCGTGCTTGGCCCAACTTTCTTCAGGCCGTTGTAAGTGTCTAACCCACGGATAATGCTGGGGACCTAAATGCGCCTGCTAATACACTTCTTACTAGAGGTCATTCATGGCTGCAGGCTCACTGACTCTCGGCGGTAACATGAGTCTGGCTGTCGGTCCTCTGGGACGTAACGGGGAGGCCTCAGGTGCTCTAAGCACAAGCGGCAAAGTTGCCGCAATGTTCGTACACCATGTTACCCTCATCTTTAATGCTTGTCTCATCTCCTTTCAGGTACAGCTACTCGAAGACGCGCGGCCTTTTTGGTGGTGTTTCGGTCGAGGGCTCCGTGATCATGGAGCGACAAGATGCAAATGCGCAAGCCTATCGCTCAAACGTTAGTGCGAAGCAAATTTTGAGCGGAAGTGTCACGCCGCCAGACTGGGCACAGCCTCTTATCCACACCCTTGAAACTTGTACCAGCCCACCGGGCGGACGTGGGTGGGTGGCAGACGGACCGTCACAAGGTTCGTCGTACGCGTTCAGTGGAATCGCAAGTCCCAACGCCGAAGTCCCACAATCGTTGCGCAAGCAGCCGCGTAAATCATCTACTACTCCCGCCTTTCCTCCAGATTCGTGGGGCGCACGCAAGAATTCAGGCAGCTACTTTGGACCTCCTGGGGAGGAGGCCGTTTCCGGTTCAGCGTGGGACTATGACCATGCACCCCGAATCGATGACTCCTCTCCGTTCGAAACCCGCTTCGAAAATGACTTCGTTCCCACTGAACGCTCGCATATGCGACATGCTCCTGGTCAGTCGCTCGACTCTTCCATGGGCACTAGTTCCCGCACACGACTGCAATCCGCACACTCCCGGTCATCGAGCAGTGCAGCGAGTGCCACAAATCCATTCTACTCACAAGCAGAACGTGAGAGCGATGGCTATGATGTAGCATCATCCTTTGGACCGACGCTCGAGGACGAAGAAAACCCATTCGGATCAGGTTCTCGTGCTGTTGATGTTGTGGCTACGAGGTATCGTGAGGCTGAGCGCGATCGTGTGCTCAGCAGGCCACTTATACAGGGGGATGGTGTTGGTCGCGCGATTGCTCTATTCGACTTTCGTGCTGTTGAGCCGGGAGATCTGTCTTTTTTGAAAGGTCAGGTCATCACTATTACAGAGAAGAGTGACTCGACAGATACATGGTGAGTGTCGTGGCTTGGCTGCGTGGAGTACTGTGTGCTGACGTTTCTCGGCACAGGTGGAAGGGTAAGCTCGAGGGGCGAGAGGGTTCGTTTCCTGCTAACTTTGTAGAGGTTGTATGAGTTGTTTCCGTTCTAAGTAGTCACATGGCACGGATTATATAATACATACCATTCACCTGACACCGACACCACTCATAAGTTACTGTCACTCATTTCACCGCAATGTCCTCTAAACGAAAATGGGACCAGGCCGCACCGGAGGAGTTCAAAGACGACCCTGAATCTCCCGCAAAAGTTGCAAAAGTGGACGAAGGCAAGAATGCGTCTACTGCTGCTGCCGCAGCCGCGGCCATTGCAGCCAAAATCGCTGCTCAATACAGCAATGCTGCTGTTGGGGGCGCGAGCGGGCTACTCGGACCCAAGGACATACACGATGGAGAGTTCACTCAGGACATTGACATCAACGATGTGAGAAATCGTTATATGTTGACCAAAGGTTCCACACAACAACAGGTGTGTCACTCCTTTCCCATCCATGACAGACATATCTCACGAACACTTATGTTTTAGATACACGACGAAACAGGTGCTTCGGTCAGCACGAAAGGCATATGGTACCCTGATCGCACAAAGGCTACGGAGAAAGACCCTCCGTTGTACCTACACATATCCGCGAACAGTCAAGATATGTTGCAGATGGCCATCGACAGAGTCAATGAGCTCATCGCAATCGACATGGGGTCTCTTGTCGAGGAAAAAGGAAAGCGAGAAAAGGTGCGCTCTCTCCTGTGTGTTAGCGGGCTGTTTGCGCACTCGTCCCCTTAGCGCAAATGGCCTGAGGAGAAAATCTTCATCGGCTTGGAGTCAATCCGTAATTTTAACGTGCGGGCCAAGGTTGTTGGCCCTACTGTAAGTGTCCGGTAATTCGACATAGGCGTTTTTCACGAACCGTCCACAGGGCATGTTTGTCAAATATATACAGCAAGAAACGGGAACTCGCGTGCAGATCAAAGGCCAAGGGTCAGGATTCGTGGATCAGGAAACAGGGAAGGAGTCAGAAGAGCCTATGCACATTCACATAACGTGCGTTTCAGCCTTGCCGTCTTGAGTTGTTTGTTTTGATGGCCTCCCTAGAGGGCCCGAAGAAGGTCAAGTCGCACGCGCAAAGGCACTGACCGATGACCTACTTGAGGTCGTCCGAGGGGAGTACGCGAAGGTCAAGACAATGTTGCATCAGCAACAGATGGAACTTCACCAGGCCCAAATGCAGTATGCCTCTTATGGTATGATGGGCGTACGTATACTCTACCCTATATCGGATGCTCGTCCGTCCGGTCTCGTCCTCTTTTTCTAATCCGCTTACTTTCCTAGGGTTACGCCCCCCCTCCTCCGTCGGCTGTGCCACCGCCGCCACCGCCCGGTGAACAACCACCGCCACCGCCCTCCGATGGGGCTACGGCCGCCCCAGGAAGTGCTGCGCCGGCTCCTACTGACCTAGACGCCTACACAGCGTATTGGTACGTTTCATACCTTGCAAGGACCCGGGTCACCCCTGATAGATAACACCCAGGGCTGCCTATGGCTACGATGTGAATTCGCCGGAGTTCAAAGAGTGGCAAGCAAGCCAAATGGCGCAATACAACCAGTATTATGCATCTCAAGGATACACCCCTGGCTCTGATGCTGCTGCGGGTGCTGGTGGTCCAGCGGCTCCTGCCCCGCCTCCCAGTGAACCAGCACCACCGCCTCCGCCTCCCGCTTAGGTACCGCTCTCGTTTACATGCTCAATCTGTAGATCCAATCTGTACATGTGTTTTGCGGTCGTTGGACACGTCAATATATGTGGATTTGGTTGCTGTTGGGCATGAGCGCTCATTGGACGATGCCGTTACCTAGAAAGTTCGAACTAAACTGCCAGGTCATCATGGCGACGACCGTTGTGAGCCGACTAAAACAGGGCAGAGGTCTTCTGCAGTACAAATGAGCCCCATAATTGCCCTCCTCTTTCTCTTTTCGGTGCTTCTCCTCTTGTACCTGTACATTCGTTTGAACGATGCCAAACTCATGAAGTTGCCCCATGAGGTGGCCTCAGCTTTCTCTCCGCATAGGATCAGCGCAAGAGACGCCTTAGAAGCAGCGGCAAAGTCAGAGACAGTGAGATTAGACTCAAAAACGTTCCTCCCACCGAGGACAGGAAGACGGTATATAGTCGTCGGCGGGGTATGTCAGCCAAGCCTGGTGACCCGGTGAGGCCCCACTAACTTGGACTCCTCGTCAGGCCGGCTTCCTCGGTGGCTGGATTGTACGCCATTTGCTTGAGCGCGGCGAGCACCCGAAGCAGATCAGAGTCCTGGACATCCGCGCCCCTACGCGCCCTGACCTGACGACCGGCTCGGCCAAGGACGTCGACTTTCGCCTCGTTGACATCTCCGATCGAGAGCAGGTCCAGGTGGCCTTCAGCGCACCCTGGCTATTAACACCCGAGGGCAGCCCGCCCGCCGAGATCGAAACGACCGTCTTTCACACCGCGGCCAACATCCGCTTCTACGAGCGCGACGCCAGACTCTTGCGCTTGTCCGAGAAGGTGAACGTCGAGGGGACGCAGAACGTGTTGGATGCTGCGCGGGCCACGGGCGTGAGCGTCCTCGTCTACACCTCGAGCGGCTCCGTGTCCATCCGCCGCGCGCGGCTGTGGCTTTGGCCCTGGGAGAAACGACCCACGTTTCCGGTGCAGACGATCGACGACGACGACAGTCGCCTGCCTCGACGCCATGAAGAAATGTTCTCGAACTATGCCGCGTCCAAGCTCAGGGCTGAAAGGCTGGTTCGGGCGGCCGACCAGACGCCATTGCCATCCGGGAAGGGCCAGCTTCGTACGGGGTGTCTCCGACCGGGGAACGGTATCTACGGCACTGGGGGAGACATTATGTGCGGCGCATATCTCGCGCGGCAGGTCAACCCTTCCTGGATTCAAGACATCCTCCAGAATTTCATTTACGTGGAGAATGCCTCCTTGGCACATTTCTGCTACGAACAGCGCCTGATTGAGATGACGCGAGGATCCCCCAATCCTGACGTCGGCGGGCAAGCGTTCGGCATAGTAGACGCCGGCCCGCCCGTCACTTATGGAGATGTCTACACCGTCCTCACCACTCTTACTGATGGCCAGACCGTGTTCCCTCGGCTGTCCGCCACGGCCATGCTCATGCTCTCCCACATATTCGAGGGGCTACACCTCCTGCGGTCTTTGACGGCGTTATCATCGAATCCTTTTCTTTGTCGTCTCAGTCGGCTTGTGCCGGCCCCCACTGGGGATCTCATCAATCTCCAGCCCTCGCTGTTCTCCCTTACCATGGTACACCTCATTTGGGATGATTCGCGTGCTCGAAAATCCCCGGAGAAAGGCGGTCTGGGTTATGAACCCCAATGGACGACCCTCAGTGCGTTATGCAAGCTGGTGGAGGAACATAAGAAAGCGAATGGTCGATTTGAAGTGAGGTCGATGGCTGGTGGTATAGGCTTTGGGTTGGGACGGGCCCAGCATCACGGAGAGTGGAGGAGGTGATCGAAAACGTCTCTATGGATGCTACCCCGCACACTGGATGATGCGACAGACGAAGTTGGTACTTGCGCAGTTCCACCTTGAGTGTTTCCGTGCCGCATAGTAGTCCTGAAAAAAAATTGGTGCAAAGTACGATTATAGTGAATGGGGCAGAAATCAAAAAAGGTAAGTAGCCCACCGCGAGGGTCGAACTCGCAGCCTTCAGATTTGGGTCGTGGTGCGACCATGCACCCGCCATAAGAGTCTGACGCTCTATCCGATTGAGCTAGGCGGGCAGTGCGGAGAGAACGGAATTAGGGAGACTAGACTCTGTAAGCAGGTTATGTCCCTTTGGCAATCTTTGTATAATGCAGATTCCGGTCCATTATACAAGCCGGACAATGTTCGCTATTCGTAGTAGATGAAAGCAGTGTATGAGGTGTGCGAGGATAAAACACCCCGCTTCGAGCCAATTAAGCGTTGGGACAGTACAGTATGACAAATGTAATGTAAAGCAATGATGCAAACATAGACAGTAGAGGTAATGAAATAATAACAACGAACTCTTGTGCCTCAGGGTCTTGGATCTATATTGTAACCAGCCAGCGACGTAGTAGACGGAGACGCTGTCAGGGGCCCTGCGGTCACTTTCATTGCGGATTTCGAGTTGGGTGGAATCCAGGGCACATTCGGGGGAGTTTCGGGTCCGGGTGTAATCGGTCGCGAAGACGATGGCGTATTCATTTGCGAGCGATTGTGGACAAGGTGCGCCCGGACGAGGTGGCCAGCAGCGAGGGCACTAAGGAGGGAGACCTCGCCTGCCATGACGGCAGCTGCTATGATGCGAGCAAGCCGTTGTGCATTCTGACCTGGCACAGTTGGATGCGCGCCCTTTACGCCTAGCATCGCCAATACGGATTGCTGAGGGCCAAGGACGGTACCACCACCAACTGTGCCGACTTCTATGCAAGGCATTGTTATGGTGACAAGAACATCTTTACCCTCGTTCGTTCTAGCATTCTAGTCAGCGAGGAGTCAGACGAGGTAGAAAAACCAACACACAATTCCATCAGCGTCATGCAATTAGACGACTCTACATTCTGTGCTGGGTCTTGTCCAGTGGCGAGGTATACCGCAGTCAAGATGTTTGCAGCGTGAGCATTGAAACCACCGACGGAGCCTGCCATCGCACTGCCGACCAGGTTTTTCTTCGTGTTGAGGTTGCACAATGCCTCTGGCGTAGTCTTCAGCACTGACTTGACAACATGACCTGGTAAAATTGCCTCTGCGACCACGCTCTTGCCACGTCCCTCGATCCAGTTAATGGCGGCGGGCTTCTTGTCGGTACAATAATTACCAGAAAGAGCGAGGACGACCATCTCTGGGAAGTACTTGCTCATGACGTCCAGAGCCTTCTCAGTACCTTTCGAAATCATGTTCATGCCCATTGCATCACCAGTGGTCGTTGCAAACCGCACAAACAGCGTCCGACCAGCCATGGCCGTCTTGAGCTTCTGCAATTTTGCAAAGCGCGACGTGCTCTCGAACGCTTCCTTCAGTATCGCGCTGCCCTCTGCGGAGTCGATCCACGCTTTGGCAGCAGCTGCGAGAGCAATAGATGGGAAATCAATAGCAGGTCCACGAGTCATGCCGTCATAGGTGACAACAGTGGCAACTCCTCCTCCGGCATTGAGGGCTTTGCAACCACGGGATGTTGAAGCCACAAGTGTGCCCTCTGCTGTCGCCATGGGAATTGGGAACAACTCGCCATCAATGTTGAGAGGGCCCGCAATACCCAAGGGAAGAGGAATGTAGCCGACAACATTCTCACAGCAGGCTCCCATGACGCGGGAGTAATCGTAATTTGACATCGGTATGTCGGAGTGCTCAAGCGTCTTGGTGTTCGACGACCGAGCTGGAGCCTCTGTCAGCTGCGATGCATCTTTCAAAGGATAAGCCCACATACAGATTAACGCCCTTCGAACCAGAACTGCGCGTTCTAGATCACCCAAAACTTTCTCCAAAGCATACGCTTGGATTTTGCCATTCTGGGCCAAGAGAATAACCTCCTCATCATTGAGTAACGAGAGTGACACGGAGACCGGGCGAGGACCGTTCTCGAAGATGTCGATACACTCTTCCAGCGAACGTATATTTGTTGAAGTCTCCTTTGTACCAGATTCTTCATCTTGCGAATCTGATTCGTCACCTGTCGTGAATGTAGGCTGCTGCGCCTTGAGTTTCTGATCAACTGAATCCAAGAGTGACGAGATTCCGTTCACAGAAGGCGCCCTCGGAACGGCTGGCACAGGAATAGGTCGAACGACTGGAGGCGCAGAATATACAGCAACGTCTTCTGTACGAGACTCTGAGTTGATTAGGATAGGCGCAGGGAGAGGGGATGGGAAGCCAAGTTGCTTCTCCTGAGCTCGATCAACGGCGTTGAACCGGACACTCTGAGCCTGTTGGACTCTGCGAGTAGAGCCAGTCCCTGTGGAAATCCCCTTGAGAAGGTAACCATTAAGTGCAACACTGACACCGAGGAGTAGCACAATCCATTTTGATAAGATGGGATCACCGACAAGCCGAGTCCATGATGACATGAAACTATCAATCATATCGTCCGCATCACGTCCCTTGGCCTTGGCCTCCTTATGAAGGTGTGGCGAGATGATGGGTACCATGCGAATGTGAACCGGTGCTGATATGCGCACTATCAACTCAGTTCCGTTGTTAAGGGTTGCAAGGCCAGAGAGTGACTGTTCAACAGGGAGGCTGGTGATGTCGACGGTGCGGAAGCCAGGTAAAGCATCCTTAGCATAACGAGCGCTTTGTACCTGCTGAAGGTGAGGCACCGCTGCACCAGGGGTGAACGTTGCACACAGGTTCAGCAAATGGAGCGACAGGAAGGAGACAATCTACAAGACTAGGTCAACTTGATGCTCTGCTCTGATGAGAGGAGGGTAGGCACCCACCAGCAATAACTTCAAGCGAGCGACGGGATTCTCCTCCTTTCCGACCTTCTCCTTGGACTGAGACCTGAGTAAAGAACCCTTTACGCCCAACAAAGCAGCTGAGGTTCGCTGCCGCAGGCTCAGTTTTGGCATCTGGATTTGGCCATTCACAATCATGGGGGGCTTGACATCCGACATGGATGACCTCCGCGATGATAAGGCGCGGAACATCTTGATACGGCGTACCTAAGACAATAAGCAGTGTAAATACCAATCACAAGACAGGAGAAGGCCCCCGAAACCCCGTTTCACGTGATGTCAAAGGACTTGAAACGTACCTCGATCATAACACTAAGAATAGCGACGTAGAACGTCGCCGTTGCCACACAGTCCACAGTTAAGAGTAGGGCAGCGAGGGCACAGAACTCCTTTAGCCCGCCGACCTTGCTATATGCGCCAATGAGGAGTACGGCAATCTCCAGAGCATAGTCCCGAACGATAATGTTGCCAGCTTTATCAAGCGCCTCTACAATGAGATCTGGGGCTGGCTTCATCTGACCACGCAGACGACCTTCCTGGATAGCAGGGTGTATGAGATGTGGATTACCGAAAACCGCGCGAGCAAGGCGAAGAGGTTTCTCGAATCCGACTGTGCAGACCAGGAAAGGAAGTGCTTCGATCAGGCTGACAGGATCGAGTGGGATGCGTAGGTAACTAGCAATGGGCAATGCAACCATGAAAGAAAGAGTCGACGATGAGAGGATCGCAGTGGTTAACCAGAAGTTGGAGCCAAGGCTGCGAGATGCCAGGAAAAGACGGATGAACGTCGTATGCATCAATACATATCCTGCAAGGACAAGCAGGATGTCAAGGTTGTCCGCTTTCTAGAAAAAAGCAGTGTTGGAAAGTGCGATCTACAGATAGACTGACTGAACCATACTAACCTTCGTGAGGTCCCAGAAGCGAACTACTAAAGTGCGTGCCGCATACGCAACCCATTTGCCACTCTTCATCCCCGCGACTGCGTCTTGCTCAGGGTTCTCAACAACATATTTGACGGGGCCGAAGTCTTCCGAAATGAAGGCGCCTTGCTTTGTGAGAGCACCGATGAAGTCCTCACGACCCCCCGCAGCAAATGATAGCATCAGTGATTCCGACTTCGGGTTACCTGAAAAAGTGGACGTGAAACAAGTTTCGTCTCCATCCTGGCTGTTCTGGACCGAGTGGCAAATATCCGTAAATTTTTTACCAGAGGACGTAGGGAATTGATGCGTAAGGAAGTGTGTCATGTTTTCCAGGGAGTAAGCGACTTGCGAAGAGAGGATCGAATTCTCTGCGATCTGCATGGTAGTTAGTAGTGGAACGTTAGAAATGAAACCTTTGCGCGCCTTCTTTGCCGTCTTGGCATCAAAAGACATGGTCAACTGCTGAAGGTCGATGGCAGAGGCGCGAGAGGACCGGTGGGCGAGGGCGTCATACCACTCAGTCTCCGGAACGGTAACCCACTCATCGCTACGCCAAAGTGCATGTGATGGGCGCAAGGGTGGGAGAGTAGTCGGGGCAAAGAAAGAGGATTGCTTTATGGCGGAGAGGACATGGAAATACGCAAGCGTGGCAAGCACGAAAAAGAACACGATAGTTTCTATGGGTGAAGATGCGGCATGAATTGAAACTGGACGGATTAAGGCCCTCATTGTAGGCAAACGGAGGGTGTACGCGTCAAAGTTGGAGAATCAGGGGATTAGTAGTTGTTGAATGTGAATAGGGTCGTTTTGATGACGGGGTCGTTTGCAGGGAAGAGGTAGCGAGGAAATAATAATTCTCTATGAATAAAAAGAAGAAAAGGTCACTTGGATCGTACGATTGAACGAACGAGTGTGGAGAGAGAACAGTGGAGAAGGAGAATAAAGATGGGTAAAGAGAGTGGAACGAGAGAAAATGGACATATTTATTGTGAATTGAAGTTGACTAAGACCCCGGAGAGCAGTCTAGCTTGACCCGCGACTGTCGCCAATTATGCCACCTGGCGTCACTTATCACACTTCGCTTCTCTTTCTGGGCAGGCCCAGATGCTGCGCAATCTCCTCTTGGCCAGTATCTACTTTGGTCGTCCTTCGTTTCACCCACGCTCGGCCCTTTGCACGATTGCCGGTACCGGTTGGCGTATCAGGTGCGTAGTGTTCGGTGGCGTGCACCGCCTCCATTTGTATCATTACCCGGCTATGTCGTACCAATCACTTTTCGTCACACCGTCATATTACAACATGTATACTGCTCTCCTTCATTCATTGTACAGTATCCGAAAGCGAATAGCCGGATGCGAGATTGTCCGGTTGCGCTAT